ATGTTCCTACATGTTCCTCCATGTTCCTCCATGTTCCTACATGTTCCACTTCTCTCCAACAAGGTAAAGCTCTAAATACTTTCTTCATATGGGACGTCTCTAAAACAGGATTTCTACTAGGAGTTCTGTTCAAATGAATGAGGGACTTTATGGACCAGCTTCAGGGTCCAAACAGGTCTGGATCAGGTTTCTGTTCAGAGGAGGAACTTTAGGTGCTCAGAGGACCACATCTGGATGTCTTGAAGAGTTTAACTCTTGAGGCTGACGTCAGGTGTGACGAACTTACTCAACCTGATTTAAAACTGTACATGCTGTACGGCAGACTGTTTTACCATGTAATCAATTCACATTGCTGTCTCCATTTATATTTTAGATTTAAATAATGAAATTTATCCCCCAACATTCTAAGTTGTCAGGATCATCCAAAATCATTTAATCTGAACTCCAAGATCAAAGTAGGTCACGTCCTGAACCCTACAGGGCCCCGTGGAAGAAGAACCCCAAGGCGCCACTGCTGACAGAAAAACACTAAAATGGCCGACAGGAAGTCACCAAAATGCACGTTAAGAACCACAGTCCCTGACTGATGAGAGAAAACTGGAGCTTTCTGTATCATGAGCTTCGGTTATTAATTTTCTTTTTTTATGTGAGTTTCATTCTTCGAGGTTAGAAAAGGCGAAGGACCAGTCGAATGTTTCGATCTCAGCTTCAGATAAACAGTTATTTCACAGAAACTTGTCAACATTCAGCGAGGCAGAAGCAGCTTCAAAAGAAAACCACCGTGAGATGAAACAGAACCGAACATTCAGCGGAACACAACGCTACGTTTGTTTCACCGTTGCAGACGACTGTTTCCTGTTGAGCGCTGAGGAGAGGAAGCGGCACCGGACCGTTGAATGGACAGAAAGGTTTGACTTTTGCTTCTTAAATCTTAAATACACACAGAGAAAGCCAGGAGGACACATCGTGTTCAAATGCAACACAACAAATCATCTAAGCACAGAGGTATTATCAAACTTTTGTAGAACACGAGCAGCTGCTCGTTTTTTGTAGCTTCGGCTAAGTTTTGTTGAGCTTGTGCGACGTGGGAGCAGTTCTAAAAAGATACAATGTGACAAGTTAGTTCCTAATGGGATGTTTGTTCTGAACAGTTTCAGTGTGTCCACACCACCGGCAGCTTTTCTACAAATGGCACAAGTTATGACCATCACAGAACCTGCCAGGTCCGAGACCACAGCTCTGAGGGACGCCACATTAAAACGTGTGGTTTTGAATTGTGCTGCTGAAGTTTAGTTTGCTCAACAATGCAGAGAACAACGGACATGGACGAATACTTCAGGGCTTGATCAAACCATTAAGACTTTAACCTTTGAAGGAATATTCTGGTTCTGAACAAAAGTTAGGAAGAATTATAACTCCGATTAAAAAAGTTAAAAATACCAACAGAATGCAATTATATGAGCTTTTTGCAACAAATTGGGTTAATTAGCAACAGGTCAGTAGGATGAATGGGAATAAAAGAGAATTTTAGAGGCTGGACCTGTCAGAAGTATGTCAGAAGTAAAGATGGACAGAGGTTCAATAGTCTGAGGAAAAACTGCATCTAAAAATGGTGGAATCATTTCAGAATAATGTTTCTCACTGGAAATTCAGACCCCACATCCTCCTTACTAAAGAGGAGAGGGACCATCCAGCCTGCGATCAGCACACAGTTCAAAAGCCCACGTCTCTGATGGTATGGGGGTGCATTATTGCCTCCAGCATGGACCGATTACACATCTGGAAAGGGATTGCTTCATTGCAGAAAAGTATCTACAGGTGCCAGAACCTTGTCAGTTCTGTTGGACACAAACTCTTCAACTGATAAGAATAATTATTTATGACAATGCTACAGAACGGCACTTCAAAATGGCCTGAATACCCCTTTAAGTCAGACCTTTTCGTTTAGAGAATCCAAAAAGTCCAGAGTGCAATGCATTGTGGAACACTAACGACAGGGAAAAGCAGATTTCCGTCACGTCTTCGAGTGTTTGTGCTGTAAAACCTCCAGATGATCACACAAATAATCCAGTTTTTATGAGGAATTAGAAGCAGAGCAGAAGTTAATCTGATTAACCTACATGTGTCTGATCCTAACCTCTCTGAGTTTAAGCTCCGCCCCCCAGTGCCCGAGATGATCTGAAGCTGCCGGCAGAGTGGAGGATCGGTTTCCGTTCAAACGGTGCTACGGTGGCCTGCTCAGGACATGTAGCGGGCCCCATCGGGCCCACGGGGCGGGCGCTTGGTGCTTTCGTTGGCGTTGGACGTTCGGGGTTTAGCGGTGGGTTTCTTCTCCTTGGAGGATTGTCGAGTTTGGCTGAGAGTCGACGTCCCGGCAGCGGCTGCAGCCTGAAGACCCCCCCCAGGCTCCACAATGGTGTTGATCACTAAACAACAACAACAACAACCGCACAGACTGAGCACCTGGGAACAGGTCTTACCTTCTGAGGACAACAATTTGTGCACTGCTGTGATCTAAAGGAAGTTAGACGGTGTAAGTGTCTCTTAGCCTGAGCTCATTTACACGACGCTCTTATGAGTTTATTCAAATCAACATGTGGAAACAGATGTTTAGGATTAGCAGTAACTAAGAAACATCAATAAAATGAACCAATCTGCATTTACCCTCAAGCTGCCGCTGAACTCGTCTCAGCTCCTTCAGGATGGAGGTGATTTCCTGCAACAGAAAGCAGAGAGAAGCGTCCAGATGTGCGCACAGCTGCATGCTGTTTGACGAAGCTGATGGATCTGCAGAGGAACCTTGTTGGAGGTTTTCAGGAGGGGAACTTCGTTCTCAGCGTTGATCTTCGCCTCGATCTCCTTCCAGACGTCTGCCTTGTTCTGGAACAGAACCCTGAGGGAAACGGTGGTCGGGTCGGTTAAAGCACAGGAGGAACAGGAAGTCCACAAACATCCTGAAACCCTGAGCTCCAGGTAAACACCCCACCTGTCCTCAGGTCTCAGGTGTAAACATGATTAAAGCTTCCTTACTTCATCTTCTCTGCCAGCTGCTCCGTGTTCTCCCGGATGGCCTGGGACAGCTGGGAGACCGGGTTGAGCATCAGGTTGTCCAGGATCACCTGCAAGAGGAAGAGGAAGATGAGCTCAGAGCAGCTTCATCAGCACCACTGAGTTCCCAGCACACCAAAACTAACTGCAGCAGTGGCTCACACGGTACCGCTCACTGAGAGCCGAGGGTTCTGGCTGCGCTCACCACAGACCCGGTTCCCCGGCCTTGGCTTTAAACCGTCTGGACAAGCTGGCTTCAAATCATCGTGAGCTTCTGTTCTCATCTGTTCTCATCTGTTCTCATCTGTCACTAAATACCAATTTAGCCTAATGTACAGTAAATAACAACATAACCTTCAAAATAAAAGCTCAGAACAGAAGTTTAGATTTAAAGATGCAGTGATGGGAAAAGAAAGTTTGAAGTTTTCAGGACAAAATAAAAATGTTCAAATGTAACTTCAAGTGAACAAAAGCCCTCAGTTTCTACTTGATCAGAACATTTCTCATGGCATCAGCACTTGAACTAAAATACTGAAGACTAATTCAAACAAGTGTAAACTTTTTAAGCACAAAGCAGAGATGCAAAACGTTTAAAAGCAGGATTCAGATTAATGTTGCATCATGTTTTGAGTCACTAACACTTAAATTCAATAGTTTACTTTAAGATGTTTCTCGTTTTAACTTTAAGGCTCCAGCGCTGCACGTTGAGCAGAATATTTACACAATAAAAGTCTTTTTTTATAAAAATTTCACGACAAACTAAAACTACATCAAGAGAGAGTTAAATCGTCATCAGTGCTCAGATGTGAAGGTTTAGTCGAGTCATGTTTGGGTTTGTCTGAGCTGCAGTGTGGGCGTGGCCTTGGCGGGTTCTGACAGTGACCTCTTCGCGGTTCCACGGGCGCCGTTGAAAAGAAGCGGGCTTTGTCTCATTCATATTTGCGTCCAGGTCCAAGGCGGCGGCAGAACCTGGAGGAACCTTCTGGTAGTTTAAGCTGGCCTCGGGGATACGTTGGACCAGCTGGAAAGAGAGTAGATCTAAATGTTTCGTCACAAACTGGCGAGCGCCCGTCGGGCGAAGGCGGTGCTCCGTGAACACATGCAGCAAGTCAACATGCAGCTGCAAGATGGTGACGGGCAACAGTGAGTTTTAGTTCTGCTGGGATTCAGTTTGTTAAGAACCACGGGGAGGCGCAGGAGAACCCAGGCGCAGCTCCATGAACCAGGAGAACCAGTTCAGCACCAGAGGAGGTTCATTACCAACAAAACAGGCTGAAATCTGGGGTTGACGTCACGAACATGCAAAGGAATGCGTCAGTTTTAACCACGAGCCTCTTCCACCTGCCCTACGGACCTGGTTACAGACAGAAGAGGTGCAGACGTGATCAGGGAACAGCTGGGCACAAGGATGAGCGGATCAGAAAACACTCAGGCGGGCGTGTGCACGTGAAACTCCAACATCTCACAAAGGTTCATAAAACTGCCATAAAATGTAAAAAGGATGAAACTTTTTTTTTTTTTTTTTTTTGCACAAGAACAAAATAAAGTGTCCCAAAAAAAGAGGCTACCAAGTTGAAAAGATCAAATTTGTGCATTTTATTTAGTTTGGATGCAAATGTCACATATTGATCCGTTTCTTTGTGATCTATTGTGTAAACTTCCAAGCAACTTTTAAAGATTATGTTTTTCAGACATGAATTTTGTGAATTAACTAAAGTCTGTCGACTCATCAGAAACGAGGAACCTGAAGGTGATGACTCTGGTTCCTCCTTGCTCGTTGCATTTTTACAGTTGGGATCAATAAGTCAGACTAGTGATCGTCTGAGTGACATATCGGCACACTGAATGGATCTTAATCTTATCTGACATTTATACTTGTGCTCAATCTTCTCTTCAGCCTCTTTGATGGTGGTGTACCTCAAAGATCTATGTTTGGTCTTCTTTTGTTTTCAGTGTATAAAGTGTGATTATGCTAAATGATTACAAGGCATCTGTTGGGAATTTTTTCAAGTTGATGACACTCAGATTTACTCGAAGTGTTAGGAGACAAATGATGTAACAGCTGGATCAGGTAGTCCAATGGAGCTAAACTGATTAGAACGGAGTAGGCTTCTCTAGAGTTAGTTTGATAAACTACCACAACAATCGTAATTGCAACAGTTTTATCTACAAGCCATAAAAACAATAAATGTGAACATAAAATTAATAATTTGTTAGCTCAGGCTACACTGATACACCTGATTGTCACCTCTGAACCTTCATCCTTCAGACTGATTCCAGCTTAGATCTGGTTTGTGTTACTCCACTGGTTCTGTTGTTAATGATCTTCCATGCAGGGCACTCAAATGGAAAACGAGTTTAGTTCAGACGTGTTTCAGAACAATCCAACACTGTGAGAGGGGAGTGTTAGGATCAGTGATGGGAGGAAGGGGAACCAATCATGAGGCAGGAAGTTGGACACCTGAGATGGTGGAACCCCGTAGCGGTATGGAACAGATGACGTCTGTGCAACAAAACAGAGATATGAATCATGAGAGTCAGAGGCATGATGGAGATCCTGCAAATCAACCTGCAAACACATAACAAGACTTCCCCTGCAGCGTCAGTTAGCACACGCAGGAGAATGAAGACACTGGGATGATAAGAGGCCATGAGTGTGTGGTAATAATGGCAGCACGGGGGGTGTGTGTTCATGCCCCACCTCCTCCCGGGCAGACATGGTGGAGGCCGGTGTGTTGGGCAGCGAGCTGGGTGAGGTGGTGGTTCCCATTGCAGAACTGGGCGAATCTCCATCACCGGCAACGTCATGGATCTCCTTTGCCAGAATGGCCAGGTCCTTAGCCAGGTCCTGACTGAGCCTGCAACAAAGACAGGAACAAAACGCCACGTAGAAGTCAGAGTGATGACGTGGAGTATTCACTGACAATGCAGGCCTTACGTACTTGGCGATCTCCGCACTGTGTGTGGACCAGTTCTCGTATGGGTCAACATCGTTCTGGTCCTCGACCTCCTCTGTTTCCAGTGAGACAGACTTGGTTCTGGTGGTGGCCATTTGCTGGCTGCGTGGTTTCTGTGCAGAGGTCGACGGATAGGAGGGGCGTTGGGTTTTAGAGGTACCGGCAGTCATCTCATATTCATCCTCAGAGGAAGACGAGAAGTCCGAGCCCTTCTGTTTGCGATGAGACCCTAAAAGGATTTGAAAGTTTTTTTAATGTTATCACCTCTTGGTCTCCACTGTCAGTCGATACATGAACCCATCAACAAGCTGCAGAGACAAAAGTCACAGATGCAAAAGCAGAGAGCCAAATGATGTAGCTGAGAGGATGACAGGGAGGTAACATTTAGTAAAGTCAGCTCTAATAAAGCCAATCTCAACAGTTGATTCATGTAATCTTTGCCATGCTGTAATGCACCCTTTGTGTGATCCAGGTTTCATCGAAGCGCAGCCACATCCCAATATCTGATGCAGGGAAGCAGGGTTTCTATGGTAACCAAGCAGCAGCATTTCACAGCGGACAGAAGTAGGACATGACTGTGCAGGAGATTTCTACTGAAACGGCCTCTTTTATGCCTGATGTCAGATTAAAACTGTGCCAACAATGACGGGCTCCATTCACCACTTTGTTTCATTGTTCATCAGGATTTCAGGGTGTTAAAGATTGTTGTGCTTTCACTTCTCTGTTGTGTCTGACCCAGACTTATCTGGTCAGGTTGTTCCTTAAAGCCAGCGTCGCATCGGGCTGTGACTGTTGGCGACTAGTTGGTTCACAGCACTTGCAGGAGAGTCTTAAAAATGTCTTCAAACGCGCCGTTTACCCTAGACCAGTTCCCTTGGCAAGGCGCTCGTCGTACTTGCTCGCATGCTAGCTTAGCATGCGAGCAAGCCGGGGGGGGGGTTCACATCTGTGTTCAGGCTGTAATTCTCAAAAACTGGATGCACAAACGATACAAGACTGCAAAAGAAAATTCACAGATTTTCTCACAATCCTGAGTCACCAAATGGACTCAAACAGTTGCAGCAAAGACACTAACATAAAAGGTTATACATGGAAATGAAGGACACTTTTTAATCTGATAGCTCTAAAACTTGGAAAGCTGTAAAGACTTTGTCGCACTATGGAGTTATAAGGACCTGTGAGTTTGGACCACCAGGGGAATGCTGTGACTGTGCAACATTCTGCCAAATGTCTGCACGGCCAGGTCACTATGGCGCCTGAAATTCAACATCACCAACAATGGAGTGCTCCGTAGTTGGGACTGTGTGTTGTGGTTCTTTGGTTTCATTTTAAAGCAGAGTTTAAAAGAAAGCTACAAACATTCAGAATAAGTTCTAGGAGCTAAGATTCGCACAGCAGAAAAGTCTGCTTTGTGCTGCTTTTTCTCAAAGAAGTACACGTCATAACAGACAACCATGAGTTACGTAGATCGTCCTTTAGCAAAGTGACTGCAGTTTTATTAGTGTACAGTTTAGACGAGTCAATCAGTGTTCATCTATGTATGAACCAATCTTAACCTTTTACTTTACTTTGGAGCCCACATTGAGCTTTAAAAAATGCACCCGATACACATACTAGTACTACAAATGGATACAGCATCAGTGGTACAAGTACACACAATCTACCTCTAATGGTATTAGGTCTAATACAAGATTGATTGTTCAAAGTTCTGATTTATCTTATAGCTTGAGTTGGCACTGGGCATCATTCAAATCCAGATCTTTAGTCTTTAACGAACCTTAGAACTGTTCTGGATCTCAATATTTCTCAAACCAAAAACTGGGAGTGGGATTAAGGTGATGAGCAAGACTAAATAAATCCTCATTAACACAAACTTTAGGTTTATTAATTTGTGTGATGTGCTTTTAAACACTTTCACCAGCTGGTGCTCAAAAACCACACTTTCACTTCCATACTGTAAAGGGTGCTAAACACGTAGAGCAGTGTGTACAATGTGTTTAAAATGCCAACAGGTGAAAGTTTTGATTAGTAAAGAGCAGACCAGGTAACAAAAGAAGAACTAAATCAAACACACATTAAATACGGTAGACTCAATCTTTAATTTCTGGATTATAAAAAAGCCTGCCCACCCAAAGAACAATTAAAAAATATCTGAGTGTTATACATTTTCTAACGAGTCAGGACTCACCACTGCTGGTGTACTTCACTCCACTTGATCGGGTTCGGGTCAGTGGTTGCTTCGCAGGAGCTCCGCCCCCTCTGCTGTTTGCTTGGCGGGCGTCACCGACTGATGTTTTCCTGGCCGTAGTAGGAGGTTCAGGATTGCGATTGGAGAAGCCAGACCGGCTTGAGGAGGTGTTGTTGTCACTGGGAGCTGTAAAGGAGCCAGTTCTCTTCCTGGGCATTGCTAAAATGTCCAGTCTGGACAGCTTCTTACCTTCAGCAGACATTTTAGGAGGTGCAGAAGTCTGGTCAGAATTCTGAGAGGCCCGATCAGTCTCAGCACCCTCATTATCTGAGGCCTCCCCCAGGCGTGCTCGTCGAAGCATAGATGCTCGGGTCGGTCGTGGTGCTGACAGACTGTTGGACCGTGTTAGAACCTGCTGAGTTGCTGTCTTGGGTGTCTTTCCATTGTCTTCTTTCTGAAGAGGAGCAATAAGTTTCTTGGTGCGGCTGGATGGACGGGAAAGTTCCTGATCAGAAGATATCGTTTCAGTCCAGTTGGGTCCAGAAACTTGTTGGCTTTCAGACAAATCCAGAGAGCCCCGGTTGCCTGTACTGCGACGTATCTGGAAGCGCTTTGTTGCCTCTGCCTTGCTTGGTGCATCAGCTGAAGTCTGATTGCGCCGTTTCTCAGAAAGTCTTTCTCGAGCACTAAGCTGTCGTCCCTTTTCTTGAATGGATGGGCTAGAAGAGGATTTCTCCTTCTGAAGGCTACTGATGGTGGATCGTTTCTTAGAGGTGGAGCTGATAGGAGCATTTTTGCTACTAACTTGACTAACAGTGCTAGCTGTATCTACATCTGACTCACCTGAAAGGGAATCGTCCATGTGGGTAGAGGAGCCCCCCTTCTTTGAGCTGCGACCAGAACCAGATGAGGGCAACTTGGTATCCAGAGAGGACAGAGTTCCCTCTGTCTCTTGAAGAAAGGATTGTGTGTCCTGGATATTCTCACGCCTCTGCTCCATGTCTCTAATGGATGGGTGGCTGGAGATGTGGGGAAGCTTTTTCATCTGGACGGTGTCACTGGGTCGATCTTTGGTGAAACTCTCCTGCCGGACAATAGATAACATGCAGCTATCTTTAGTGGGAACAAAATCCCTGTCCTGTGTTTGGAGGTTTGGAGCAGAACTGTTGGGTTTGACCCCTGTTCTCTTGGGTTCATGTCCACTTAAGTGTTGGATTAGGACTGTGGTAGGAGGAGGTTTAGCAGGAAGGTTTCGAGTCCTCTCAGACTGGACAGGGCTCCGGGCTTGGTCAGGCTTGCCTGGGTAATCTTCAGCACCAATGTAGAAAGAGGTGGATTTGTTGGTTGGAGAAACTCTTTCCTGAATTTTAAAGGGATGACCAACAACACCTGGAGATATACCTCCAGTCCTGGTATCATTCCTTCCTTTTTCCAGAACTGGTGCTTCTTCGGAGCGACTAGCATCACTCAGGCTGTCAGGGTCTAAATCATCCTGAACAGCTAAGTGATGGGTGGTGTCCTGTGGGCAAGGATGACCAGAAATTCTGTTCAAAGATTCCTGGCCTGGGTAAGATTCATGTCGAATCAGAATGCTTGGTGGAATACTTTCCAGTTTCTCTGGAGGCACTTGAGGCAGCAACCGTCTTGTTCTGGAGCTGTGGCTTGTCTCCGACTCAGAGGTGTCATAGCTGAAACTTCCCGTTGAACGGCTCATGAAATGTAAATCTACAAAACAATTTGTTGTTACTGAAACCTGTCAACAGTATCTTGAAAATTAAGTTTTTTTTTTTTTCCTGATAAAACTACAAAAAACTTCAGAAGTACCTTCAATACATTCCCCTTGAGGTGGAGTGGAACCAGGTTCAGCATAGCTGTCTGCTAGGCTGGCCCATCGGGAAACCCACTTGGGTCCCTCAAGACCTGCAGCCGGAACCTAGGAAAAAAATCACCATGAAAAAAAATCATCAGAAAAATAAAAACTCAACCAAGACTTGACCAAATAAACCAGGAGGAACAGGGCATAAACACCAGTTTGTATATTCTAGGACAAAAACATGCAACAAAGGTGTTTCTCTGGGTTTTGATCAGGGGTTACCTGTATAGGACCTGTTGGGGCACCACTGAGAGCAACTGGGATAAAGCCATGCAACGGGTCCACAATGCTACCATCACTGGGCAGGACAGCTTGCTCATCTTTGCCTTCATTTACAACTGGTCTATAGACTCCTGTGGTCGCATCACTGTACTCGGGAGAGTCGAGAACACCAAACACCTGTTGGACACAGGGCATGCATGAGGAGGGGCGGGACCACATCAACAGGAAGAAGCAGGAAGTACAAAGGGTTCCATGCATCGCTAAACATTTAGAACTGTATTTAAGCAACTGTTAGTGATGCATACTTCAATAAATTGAAAACACGAGAAGCTTTTGATCTTGTTTAACTGCACAGTCTTTACCAATGAGTGATCAGAACTCTTTCTACCAAAATTATGGAAGCTACTTCACTTGAGAACCTGTGATGCCAAAATCCCTTGTACATAACTATGGCATCACCTGATCAATCATGCTGCGGGCCTCTTCCACCTCTTTGTCTTGCGACTCTGTCTCAATAGTGTACGTTCCAGCATCACTCTGACTATCGTCCTCCTCATTCTTCATCATCCTCTGGGAACTTTTTAGGTCCCCTCCACGAACACTCAGGGACAACATAGGGGACACTGGGGTCCCACACAGATGAACCAGAGGGGCCATTTGGCCAGAAGCACTTGGTGGTAAGGAGGATTTTGATGTTGCTTGAGGCTGTAAGGGTGATGAGGGATAGGAGACTGAAGCAGGTGTTGGAGGTTCTGGTGGGGAGGGAAACTGTGCATGAGGAGGTGACACCATCACGGGCGGTGCAGACATAGGGGTAGGTGATGTTTTTTCCCTGGTTGGGGAGGACTCCTTTTGACCAGAGTCCTTCAGGAACTCAGCAGCAAACTCTTGGGTGAGTTTTGACTTTTTACCAACACTACCAAAAGGTCTAACAATAATTCCTGATGAGGAGCGAGAGGAGGAACTCAGTGAAGTCCCTTCACCCTCTGTCTTCTCTCTTTTAAGAGAGCTGGATCTTTGGGGCCCGCTGTGGCCCTGACCCTTTAAGGGAACAGTCACCTGCTGGGTGGGAGGAATGTGTCCATGCACAGATGCTGGCCTCTCGCCTCCTTTACGTCGCTCCAACTTGGACTTGAGGGCGGAGTAAGAGTCAGCGTGGGCAGGGTTGTGCGTAAAGGACTGCGACCTCTTTTTACGTGGGTTGTCATCAAAAAACTCAATGATGAAGGCCTGCTGGGTGAGGTGCTCAGGGGGGCCCTGTTTGGGTGTTTCTGTGGGAGATCGGGACTGAGGAGGGCTCTGTGACAGGGGCCAGTCAGGGGCCACAGGTGAGGCTGGAGCTTGTCTGGGTGGAGAGTATTGCAGCACATGGTGGAGCTTCTGCACTGGAGCAGGCTCTTGAGCTGATTGGACCGTCTGCTGGGATGTCTCAGACAGCTCTGATTGGACAGAGTGGTGGGATTTGCTTCTGCCGTTAAGTACTGGGTCTTCTGAGTCACTTTGGGTTCCATCCTCATGATGGTGACCTGGTAACAAAAGAATGAAAACAATTATGTCTGATAAGAAGGTCAACTGGAGAAAAAATATTACTGTCAGCATCTTGAAGCGCTTATAACAGTCATATTCTCCCAAATTGTTAAAAACATATCCCCTGGCTGTCATTGCATCTTGGTCTGAAAACCTGAGCTGGACCTTAGGGGTCACTCTGACCTTTGAGTGTCTTGATGTTCATAGCAAGGTCACTCTTTGTGCTGTAGACATCCTCACAAGGTGCATGCTTCCTTATCATGCTGACATCACTATGAACCAGCCAATCAGCCACTTTGCTCTGCGCTGACATCATCTCTGCAGGAGCTGCAGTGATGGTGGTTTTAGTGGGTGGAGCCTGCAGCTTCCTCTGCCGAGTGGAGAACTTGGTGACGTGGTCTTTGATCTTGATTTTGCCAGGCATGCAGTCATCAAACTCAATGGTGAAGGAGGCATGGCTCTGGACGATGGGCGGGGTTGGGGTGGGAGGGGAAGGCGGAGCCTGGGGTATGTCTGTATCCTTGGTGGGGATTTCGTGAAGCTCCGCCCCAGATGTTTTCTGGTGTTGGAAGTCCTTGGTGGGAATCTCAAAGTAGCTGGGTTCACGGTGGTATGAAGGAAAGACCGTCTTTGATTGGGAGTCTGAGACAGATCCGGAAAAATCTGGATCCACAGACAAAACATCTTTCTGTACATCTGAGGGAAAAAGAAGGATTATTTAAAAATGAAATTATATATACCCTGTATATGTTGGATGATAATATAAAAAACTACTGGTAATCCTTCATGTTTGATGAATAAGGTGTTTACCTAGATGAGGCTGATCACTGCTCTGGACTTTGCTCCCATAATCCTCTTCTCCCCACCATGATGGCTGACCGTACAGCGGGGTGGGCCGACTCACCGGAGCCTCTGCCACAAACACACAACAGCTAAAATCTGCATTTTCAGCAAAAACACAGTGTTACCGTCCTGAGATTTGTTAAAGCTGAAACAGTCTTAGCAAAACATTAGCTAAAAGCTTTTAAACACCACCAAACTGGTGTTTAAACCTAAAATTGTCAAAACCTTACCTAAAGACTGAAATGATCAAAGCTATAGCTAATGTATTAGCTTAGGTATTAGCTAAAATTGGGAAAACACTTCAAAGTTAAAATGAGCATAACAGTAGCTAAAAGAATAGGCAAAACTGTAATTGTAGCTAAAGGCTCAAATGAGCAAAACCATAGCTTATGGCAAAAATTAGCTAAGTCATAACTAATAGTTAGCTTAGGTGTTAGCTAAAATTAGAAAAACAGCGCAAATTTAAATTTAGAATAACAGTAGCTAAAAGAATAGGCAAACCTGTAGTTTTAGCTAAAGGCTAAAATTGGTAAAAGCATAACTAAGCAAAAGCTTAAGGTAGAAAAATGGTAGTAAAAGGCAATAATAATAAAATAGTAGCTAAAATATTTAGTGAAACCATAGCTAAAGGCTAATATTACCAAAAATGTAGCTAAAGGCTAATATTAGCAAAAAAAATAAATTCCTAGAAGCTACAATGGCCCAAACCTTAGCTAAAATATACTTAGTATATACTTAGCTAAGATATCCCAATGTTTTTCTACAGATAAACAGTTTGTAAATTAATTAAATATTTTCAAAAGAATAAAAATGAGAAACTTGCTAAAGTTGCACTGCACTTCTTCCTAATGAGCCGAACAGTTTAAGAAAACACAAACTATAAGCCGAAAAATAAACAGCAGGAGCTGACGCAGCATTCACACAAACACGTTTCTGGAAAACATTTTCGCTCAGATGTTTTCTTGTTGTGTTGCGCGCTGAATAAAAAGTTTCTGCACGAGTAAAAACAGCAGCTGTGCGTTTCCTGTTAGCCATTTGTTCACACGACAACATGAAACGGGGACAGGAAATGAAGCAGATCAACGTAGGATCCACTGGCTCTGTACGTCTGAAATCATCTGTTCAGCAGAATTTTAAACAGCTGAACACAAACTGAACGCTGGGAGTCGGCAGAAGCTCCGCCTCCTGTCTGCAGGTAAAACTGAACTCAGACCAGCCGAAGCTCCTCTTCCTAGTATTTGTACCTTGTGTCAGACTCTTGGTACTCGGCATTTTGTCGCCTCTCTGCCGCTCCTCTTCATCACTCTTCTTCCCCTCCGCGGCCTTCAGACTCATCTGCAGCTGGCTGCTGTACTTCTCGTGCTGCAGCAACAAACGGGACCATTAAAGATCTACGGGCTCGGTTCTCTTCACGTTCTCACAGAACTTCTTTTACAAACAGGAAGTTTGAGAAAACATCCTTAAAATAAGACATCTGTTAAACTGGATCCCCAGTCTCCCTTTCCCTCCCTCTCTCTCATCTTAAACTCTTCTCAACATATTTTCAGTCAACTTCAGAGAACTTTGGGAAAGTTTGGCCATGAAATCTAGAGACTGTTTGGAGACAGAAAAGAGAATAAACTGCAATAGAATAGAGATATTTTAAGACATTTTAAGACAATGTGGGACTAAATTTAGCAGTTACTGGCTTGTGTCGTGTCAGTTTGACCACAATTTTAATTGTGTGAATGTTTATGAAGCATTCACACTTTTGTGATCCTGTTTATATTTGTTATTCTTCTGTATTCTAATTAAAATATTACGTACATTTTTCGTCATCTTTCTTGTTACACAATTTTTGTGCCATTTCAACAAATCATTTATCAAAACCTTCATCTCTTTCAGGACAATCCTGCTGTGGCTTTTGGTATTGGTGCAACTTTAGCTTTTTGAAATATTTAGCCTTTTCTGCCATTTTTGCTCATAGAAAATGAATTGAGCTCATTTTCCATCCTTCAGATCTTTAGATCTGTTTACAACCTTTTACTGCTCCTTTCACATTTTGTTCTGCTTCAGCTGCTTTCAGCTTCCTTCAGCAAATTTTAACTTTTTTCCAGCTACTTTCAGCTGTTTTTTCAGCTGTTTTGTGCTCCTTTCTGATTCTTTCTGCTAACTACAACATTTTTGTGCTTCTTCTAACTTCTTTACGATAAGTTCAGCTTATTTCTGCAAGGTTCAGCTTTTTCTGCTATTTCAGCTACTGTTGATCTGTTTTATGCTAATTTAAGCTTTTTCAGCAAATCCCTCATTTTTTGCACTCATTCAAACTTTTTCAACCTAGTTCAGCTAAAATGTGCTCTCTCTACTTTCTTCTGGAAATTTAAACTTCTTTCTGCCTTTTTATGCTAATTTTAGCTTATTTCAGCCTAATTGGACACACATCTGTTTTTTTATTTCTTCTGCTAATTTAAGCTTGTTTTACATTTTCAGCTACTGTTTGAGCATTTTTAGCTAGTTTCAGCTGTTTTCAGATAACTTGAAGTTTTTTTAGGTAATATTTGCTACTTTCAGCCTAATTAACTTCTTTCTGCTAATTTCAGCTTGTTATGCTCTTTTCAGTTATTTCAGCTGCTAATCAGCTGTTTTATGCTATTTTAGATTTTTCAGCTAATTCCACAATTTTTAGCTCATTTCATCTATTTTTTTTAGCTAATTTCCTATTTTTGTGCTAATTTCTGTTTATTAAAACCAAATACAGCCAATATGTGTTCTTTCTGCTTTCTTCTGCTAACTTAGGCTTGTTCTTCCATTTCAGCTACATTTCAGCATGCTTAGCTAATTTCAGCTGTTTTTCAGCAAGTTCTTCTAGAATAAACATTCACGCTGCATTTTTACATGAAATGTAGTTTCTCTAGTTTTATTTAAGTCTGACATTTTGTTTGTCCTCTACTTCTAGTTTCTTTAGAGCCACAGCGTACAAAGTGTGCTCACGATCAGAAACGTGACGAAGCAGCCAAAGTCTGAAGAAAACCTTTAAATGAACCTTCAGACAGGTTGGAAACTTGTTCAAGACTGTTTTAAAGGCTCACTGAAAGGTCTGGCTGCGTAGGAGACAAATATAGAGAAAGAGAGGAGGCTCCGTTTTTAGTGCTGAACAGAAAACTGTCGCACGCTGCAGGTTAAAGGTTTAAAGACAAACTGAAACACGACCTTCAGAGCCTCCTCAGGGACTTTGTGCTGACTTTTCTCCAGAACGTAGACGTGAGAATGTGCAGAGGTGGTTCAGGAAATTAACAAATGATCTGCACGCACACACACACACACACACACACACACACACACACACATACACACACACACACACATACACACACACACACACTCAGGGAGTGTGTGAAGGATATCGTATCCGAAGCGGACGATGTCGGACAGTTTGAGGGTGATGTAGGTCTGATCAGGGATCCGCAGGTCGTTCACAAACGTCTGCAGGAAAAACAAACACAACAAATATTTAGAGTTTAAACTAAGTTTGGAAAGAAAAAACAGGTTTGGCAACAACAACAACAAACAAACAAAGAGACAACGTCAGGTGTCCTACGCTCCTGAACGCAGCAGAACGATCAATAATCTCAGTTTTATTGGTCAGACTTCAACTTCTTACCTACAAATTTACAAAAACAACTTTTATTTGCAATTTATTGGTTGATGCCTGTGATGTCACAAGGGGAGGAGCCTACAGTGTTGTTGTTGTTGTTGTTGTTGTCTGTGTGAACTTCTGTGTGTTTGAGTCTCACCCCGTTCAGGCTGCCCAGGTCCTTCACCAGGTGCTCGTCGGTTGTTGGGTTGTAGTTGATGACAGCGTGCTGTTTGTCCACGCTGCGTGACTGCACACACACACACACACACACACATTGTAAGAACACCTGCAACACCTGGAACATCTGCACCACCTGCAGAGACTCACCTGCAGCATCAGCTCGCAGTCCTCTCGGCCCACAAAGATCATCTCTCGGGGGAGACGGTGCCGAGTGCCCGAGCTGCTCACCAGGAACCATGATGTCACGCTCATCTTCACAGACCTGCTGGGAAACCGCAGTGCATCCTGGGAAACGGAGGCCACGGAGACAAAGAGAGCGAGGTAAATTACAATCGGATGTACTGAACAGCTGACGATCGGCTCACGGATAAAACCAGAAGCAGCTGCTCAGCTGAAGTCCGTCAATCTGGGGTCAAAGGTCATTTACAAACTTGGAAACGACCTTAAACATAGAAAACATTTAGGCAGCAAATTTACCCTGAAGGTCAGACTGTGCAGTGCTCAGAGAAATGACTGTACAGGGTACAGTCAGGAGGTCAAAGGTCACAGCCTCTTCTCTCTAAAACAACATGGCAGCTCGACTTAGTTTGGAAAGTTTCATCTGAAGAAACTACAAGACTTCTGGACCAGAACCAGAGGACAGATATCTACCCAGAATGCACTGCAGCAAGCAGCTCCTCCCAGCTGTCAGCACGGTGATGGAGGGCTGATGGTTTGGGTTCCAGTCAGTCACTGAGCGGACCAGGACCTCCTCTAAAGGGTTCTGGAGTCAGATGAGAGTCCATCAGTCCAACAGCTAAAGCTTGGACCAGACAGGGTCCAACAAGACCATGATCCCAAACACAGCAGCTGATCTGCAACAGAACAGGTCAGGAAGAACAGAACCAAGGAGCAGCAATGGTTCTGTTGGCACCTTCCTCGTATCAATGGGTGACGTGTCCTCACATGAAAAACTTGCAGCAGGCTGCTGCCATGTGTCCGTTTAGCTGGGAACAGCCGAAGTTCAGCTGTGGGAAAAGCCAAAGTGACTAAAACAGGCCAAATGACCTCCACAAGAAGAATGGCAGGTTAGTTGTATTATATTTATACTCAGATTCAGAGACGAATGAAGCGCTTGTTTACACCGAGTGTGGACCCGCATTTCAAAAACTGCACATGAGTAATTACCAGAGTCAGCTGATCAGTTTTATGATTGATTTCATGATTAGCCCTCATCACCCGTACCCAACGACATTCCACCTTTATTCATACAGGTTAGTCTCACTCACGATTATGACAATTTATTAAAAATGTAGAAATGAAGGAAGCTGTCGTACGTCACATCACGTGACCAGTTACGCTTCTTTAATCTAACAAGATGCGACAGAGCGGGTCCGAGCATTTCTATAATAATAATAATAATAATAATAATAATAATAATAATAATAATAATAATTAATATGCACTCCAACCGCTCCCCGTTGCCATGCACACACGCACGCGCATGGACACACGAGGATGCTGGAGGAGTCAGAGCATCCCTCCGGGCCGCAGCGCCTCATCCGCAGCTGAACCGACCGGAGGGAACCCAAACGGTTCTGATAATCCGGCCTGCAGCCGCAGATGGGTCAGCACGGACAGACAGACAGACAGACAGGTTTCAGCAGGTCTCTCCTCCTCCACGCCCTGTCCTCCTCCTCCTCCTCTCACCTCGGCTCCAGACGCCGCCGCTCTCCGTGCGTGTGCAGCCGGGCTGTGGCGCGGCGGGGCGGGCAGGGCATGAGGGGAGTCCCGCGGAGCCGGACTCGGGAGGCGGTTCGGGTCTGGGCTCGGCTCGGTCTCTGATGCTGTTATGGCATCTCTCTCAGTCTGGCTCCTCCTGACGCACCAGCTGCCACCCGCCGCTGCGTCAAGACGCTGCGCGTTCACGGCAGCGACAGGAAGCGCATCACAGGGGCCTTCAAAATAAAAGCAGCATAAAAGCTTTGACGCAGCAGAATTGATGGAAGGTTTTTTTTTTTATTCAAACTTTATTTCTACAGGTTAGGCTCATTGAGCCTCGAGGACTCATTTACAATAGAGAACTGATTTAGACAAAGAACAGATGAGGTACAGACAACAACAGACTATCATATAAAAAACAAATAAAATTAAAAGTAAATTGAAGAGAAACAAAAAAACAGCTACAGTATAAAATGATGAAAAATACTAAAAACAAGAACATGTACGAGTTGTTTTTTGCTAGAAACTTAATAGATGTTTAAAATCCCTTAGAGAGGTCAAAGGTCGAGAGCTTCAGGTCTTTTTGTCAGATATTCCAGGAAACAGGAGCGGAGTAGGAGAAGGTCCTTTTGTCTAGTTCAGTCCTCACTGAGGGAACACTGCAGGTAATGATGTCCTGAGAGCGCACGCTGTAGCTGCACTCACACAGAGACATGTAGGAGGAGATGTATGAAGGCAGCAGACCACGAATAATGGTCTGTCATAAAGGTAATGGTCAAAATAATGGTCGTTTATTGCTGGTTTTGTGGTTGGTGGAAAACATACACAACATGTATGTTATAAAGCACGTGAACATGCAATAGATCAGCTGGAGAAAATGACCTGAACTCGTTTCTGACCTGAATCATTAGAATTTGAAGAAATAAAGTCTCCAGTCTAGCGGAACAAATTCCTGCACAGTGAATATAAATATGTTAGAAACAATAAGATTCAGACTGAACTTTGGAGCACTAAAATATTGAACAGTCAGTTATTTCTACAGAAAGTCAAACAAAAACTTT